TGAGTACATCTACCTCTGCACGTGTTTTCGATTTTTTACAGTTTATAAATGGAGTTAAATTTGCAATAACGAGTTTGTATTAAATTTTTTGACCAAGAACGAAACGAATACCATCCAACAGCCATCGAATTCACCCGATATGGCTCCCTGCGGTTTTTTTCTGTTCGATCGAGTCAAAAAACCACTACTAAGAGATAATGGAAAAATCGAAGACGGCTCTGATGGCTATACCGACAATAGAGTTCCAGAAATGTTTCGAGAGCTGGATCAAGCGCTGGCATAAGTGCGTTGCAGTCGATGGGGAGTACTTTGAAGGGGACAATATCACTTTTGATGAATAAACTTGTATTTTGAATTTTCTGAATGAATTCCGGGAACTTTTTGATCAAGGTAGTATGTCAATTTGAGATTAACAAATGATAGTAGGTCGGGTAAATGTAAATGATGGTACATTACATTTACACCGAAGTTACAGGCGACCTATTTCAAGTCAGGTCATCTTTCAAGTGTTTATAGCAAGGGACCTAAATAATTTAGGTCCAAATTTGGGATATAGGCCGCAGCCTAAATTCACTGTGTAAACGTAGCCAATAAAAACATATTTAAGAAGAAACAGTACGTTTTATTCTTAAAAAAAATATTAGTCTTTTTACTAACCCTGGATACATTTGATACGATCTAATAGCGTTTCATACAATTTCATAGCGTCATCGACGAGATACTATTAAAGACCGTTAACCCTGAGCAAATTTTCGGTATAAAAAAGGCCCCAAGGGTCTTTCGGAGATAATTGAAGAACGCTGACATTATCGACAATTAATATAAATTTGCCACTATTAACATAAATATTTAGCTAATACATTATTAAATTCATGATTTTTTATTACATAAATGCTCTATAAATAAATATGCATCCTTGTAAAGCTATAATATCCTAGGTATATATTGCCGAAAAATTACAATATTTTTTCTGCAGTTATCATCTCTGTTAATAATCAAACTTTGACGTGACACTAAAATCACAATTTTAAAGAAAAATCGAGTATTATTGAGTTTTAAATGCATATACACCGATAAATAGGTCTACTAAATTAATAAATCATAAAATTAGTATTAAAATATTATCAGAGTTTTTTACATCACTTCAATATTAACAAGGACGAGATTCCCGTAAGGATGTCGGTCTTTAATAGTATCTCGTTGATGATAGCGTTTTTCATTGGCAGAAATAGTGTGCATCTAGTGCACTTTAAAGCCGTTGTACACAAATCAATAAAGTTGTACGTTTAATAAAAATACAGAAACGAATTAAACCGCGAAATATTCAGTACATTTTATTGTGCTAATTGATAAAATATACATTGGGCATTTCATTGAGATATCTCACTTTTACATTTAGGGCCTCTTTCACCAACTTCTGGTTAAATTAATCGACGATCAACTCGCAATAATGCCAACAGCAGTTTGACGCCATCGGAAAAGAAATGTATATGTTTGAAACTCGCAACTCGTGTGAGAAATATGCGAAAAAAATTCGAATAGTTGCAAAAAGCAGGTTTTTCGCTTATAAAACGAAAGATGTCGATTGTGGAAGAACGAAATTTATATCTTTTTTATTCTTTTTATGTGAACATAAAAAAATTTGAAATTAAAAAGAAGGAATAGCTAAAACGGGACAGCTAAAAAGAATAGGTATTCGTTAAAGCACGAAGTAGATTATTATGAGATTAAATTGAAAGAGATTAAATAAACAATATTAAAAAGAGAACACGTTTATTATGTTTAAAATAGAATGGGGGGGGAGTAATTACATTTCGAAAATATTTACAATATATTTTATAATAGAATATATTTTATATAGAACATTTTATAGAAAGTTTACGGTTAATGTGATATTACAAATGCGTTAATTCTTTTTGTTGCACAAATGTTTTTTGCTGAACATATTTAGCTGAATTTTAGTGTACATGGGGGTTTTTGAGGTCGCAGATTAAAAATCAGAAATTACCGACAATTGCAGATTGCCAATTTCTTCAAATTGGCTTTATAGATCACTAAATCCTTTTACACAAAAAAAGTACACACAAAGAAAAAACACCGACCACACTAAATTTGACGAGAAAATCGGAGAAAAAATAAAAAATTCACTTTATTTCAGCTCTCACAGCTGTCATCTCAAGTTATAATTCCCTTAGTGCAAAAATTCTATAGGTCGTACGTACCAAATGATACCTTCCCCGAAAGCGTATGACATACACAAACAATCCTGAATTTGCGAAATTGTAATCGAAGTCCTAATAAAAAAGATTTTCCAAAATTAGTCATCTTTTTTATATAACAATTATGATTAACCGGTAATACAAAAGGCTCGCGGCTCGGCTCGCGGCTCGATAGTCTGGACGCACTCTTAGAATCCCCTTAAGTCAAAGTTTAAAAATCAAAATAATGAATTCAATATGGCAGGTAAATTGAAAAAAAAATAACTGGCTTGTATACGCATACCTATGCTTAAAATTTTATACATTAAAATATTAAAAATATATTAAAAATATTAAGAACATTAAGAATTTATATTTCATGTAATTATCAAAACATGTCTTGATAGTCATTTTGATCGTCATTTTGGATCGGCCATTGAAAATTTGCCATTTATATGAATGCAAATTTGAAATTATTAATATACAACATTAATATAAAACATTAATATATAGATTTTGAAGGTTTATTACTACTTTTTCATCTCAGCATGAATTTTTTATTTAAAAAAAATGCTAATTTTGAATTATCTTTTGTTTCTAACCTATATTTCATGCAAAATAATTACATATGTAACGACATACAAAAACTGCGGCGAGAAAGATGTGTCCTCTACAGGCACAGTGTGCAACAAAAGATTAAAGCATTTTTTCTTTAACCATTAGTAAAATTCTTTCTTCCAATGATCAATCAAATTTAAAGCATTTGTAATGAGACTTTAACCACATACATAGATCACAATAAAAGTCAATTTTTAAAAAATGTGGAATTTGACTTTTTCAAAGAAGCTCATCTGTTACGGTTTTACTTTTGCCCTTTTCCAAGTTATTCTTTCTTCATAAAATCGAATAACAATTTGAGGACACTTGGCATTGGCTTCATTGGCAGACACCATGTCAACTGCATCTGTTCCTTTCCTGCACAAACAAAATTATTCTTATTCATCATTCAGCTTCAATTGTTTTTAAATTATTCGCATTAACTTGGGCCGTGTTCCAAAATTGACTGCCAGTACTGAAAATCTATAGTGCACGTAACGTAAACTGTAGGATTTTTAGTGTTGGCAGTAAATTTGGAACACAGCCTTGAATTCTTTATCTGTACTTTCTAAATATGTATTAGAAATAGATGTATCAACATAAATGAGTAAAAAGGACACATTCTATCAAGATGGGTCTTGGTGCCTAAATAATATTTTTGTGTAAATTTTTACAATTTTGTAGTTCAAGCGAATTGTGCGCCGATTACCTGTAGGTTTTAACACACAGTAGTATATTGAGGCTGAACTACGTAATATTACAAATTATATCAACATGCAATTTCATATTACTAATGCAAATTAACATCCTTAAATAGTATAAAGAATTGATTGCGAAAAATATCATCTCTGCCAGGATTTAAACTTGGATTTTCTTCATTCCATGCAGACATCTTAATTACCAAGGCATGTGATGATATTAAACACAATAACTATTAGGACGTATTACCTACCATTGCATCAAGTACATTAGCTTTCCATTATCATCCGCCGAGCCAAGGATCTTATCTGCTTCCAATTCTCTTTTGAATCCCTGTACTCTGCTATCATCTTTCATCGTCTCATCAGCACACGAATCTCTTTCAGCTTTAACATCTGTATCAGAATTTATCTTGGTTTTACCTATACAAGACAAAAATAATAATGTTGCTGAGAAGAGAATGTGAGAATTAATTTAAACAGAGTGATTGAAAAGTCTCGGACCGGTAAAATATCTTGAAAATAAAGCATTTTTTGAGAAAAATGCTTCAGACAAAAGTTGTAGGATTTCAAAAGATCTATTTACTGATCGCATCTGTATGACCTTGAGTGGGATCGTCGAGATCACATCGATTTTTTTAAATGGAACACCCTATTTTTTATTTCAGAATCTAATAGCTGATGTCAATAGCTTTTTAAAACATAACAATAAAATTCATTTTCAAGCCTTATAACTCGATAAATAGCGGAGCTAATAGATTCACTTTTCAGTTTCGAATTTTTACAGACGAAATTAAGAGACTTATCGAAAAAATGAATTATACACCATACTTGATATTACTATATATTTGACTATTTAATAATATTTTAATAATAAAGGGAAATTGATAACTTTCTACGCAAACGGAACATATTTCATTATGTGTCTCATTCGAGAATGAAGAATTTATTTTATTAAAATTCTTCTGCTTTGTAACTTTTTCAACCAAAGGATCTTTTCCTTTATTTGGATTTTCCTTACTTTTTCCTTTTCTTATTGTTTTGCTTTTTTGTTCGATTTCCTTTCCTTTGTTGCTGATTCTACTTTTTTTTCTTGAACAATCCAGCTTCTGCTCCATGAAAGCATCTTTTTCTGGCGAGTTTGTATATACTGCATTAGTTCGTTCATGAGTGTTTCTTTTTTTTTCTTGACATAGTTCCGCTTTTGGCAGATGTGTTATATCCTGATATATCGAAGATAGACTGACATTTTCCATGACAAATGAAAAATTGACATCTTCCTGGGCAGCTGAAAGATCAACACTTTCCTGGATAAAAAGTTCTTTGATAATAGTAGAACTATCTTCTTTATCAGTCACATGAGATCCTAAGAATTCAGTATCAAGAAATATATTTTCATTTAGAGGAGATATTCCTGAAGCGCGGAAACCTGCTTGAATATTTTCTGAAGTTGTCGCCAGAGGTAAAGCAGTTTTTACTATTTCTGGAATGTGATACATAGATAAAGATTTCCCTGGATTTCTAGCTAGCCAGTTGTCACATGCTGTGTTAACGTATTTTTTCAAAGGTCCATATACAGATCTATCTAGAGGCTGCAACATATGACTGCAACGATGAGGGAATGATAAAACTATGATTCCATTCTCTTTCAAATAATCAAGCGCCTCAATAGAAAGGTGAGATTCATGATTGTCAAGTAAAAGAAGAACAAGCTTTTCTTTAGATGGTCCAACATAACGAAAAAAATGTTGACAATATTTTATAAAATGTTCTTCTTTCATCCAACCCAATGGATTGACATCACCTGCAGATCCCAGAGGGCCTTCTTGTATAAAATGATCTACGTAATGGTCTTTTGGAAATATAAAAAATGGTGGAACCATATTTCCGATAGCTGATACTGCAACTGCAATGGTAACAAGAGCCCCTCTTTCAGTTGAAATCAGCTTTCCTAGTTGCTTCATCTCACGACGTACAATTACACGATCAGGAATGTGAACAGTACTAATTCCTATCTCATCCATATTCCAAATATCAGATGGCTTTACTTTTAGGCGATTACAGACTGTTTTCAAATTTGTGAAAAACAAATTAACATTATGTTCGTTAAATGACATTACTCTAGAGAGATTTGTAGCTTGTGGTGATCTTATTGGTAAATTGTCATTGCGTTTAAGAAAACATCTGTACCAATCTTCACCTGCCATTTTGTTTTCATTCCAAGAAGCTGGCACTTTACTTCCGTTTTTTATTGCAAATTGATAAGCCAATTTTCTCACTTCTTTAGGTGTTACACCATAATAAATATCTGCTACTTTTTTAATATATTCCACTAAAGCAATTTCTTCCGTATCATTCAAAATTTGACGACTTTTGGAGTAACCTACACGAGTTAATCGAATATTCGATACTTGACTGGTGTCTTTTTCTGCTTTTAATTTCGTAACATATCGATGCAAAGTTTTAAATGAGATTTTATATTTCATTGCTGAAGCACGAATACTTTTTCCTTCTAAAATTACTTCTTTACACGCAAATTCTATAATGCTCTTCGAAATATTTCCCTTGTCTGTCTTTCTCTTGTACGTCCTCATGATTTCCTGTAATTAAATTATTACAGTATTTATGATATTATACGTATAATTTAATTGTTACATATTTTTATTATTAAAATTTTATTATTTAACATTAAAAAATTTAATGTTAAAATTTAAAAAATTAATATTTTTATTATTTAATATTAAAATTATAAAAATTATTGCATTAGGTGTATATTTAAAATAAAAAAGAATATTCTCTAAATTCTTTTGAGTGATATCTTAAAGAGAGTGAAAATATAGCTATTTTTGGAAGAGTGAAAATATTTTACTTAATAATATTATAATGACTCAATAATAATAACATAAATTAATAAGGCTACAAGCCAATTTATGATATATTTGAATATTAAACAAATGTTTCAACCTTTTGTCAGGCCATCTTTAGTGTTTACAAAATTAAATGCAATAAAATAAATTTCTGTAACGGTTGGATACACATAATTCTAAAATTATAATTACGTTAATATAAAGTTTAGAAAATTAAACTTATAATATTTTACTTCTTGAAAAAGAATAAAATCTAACATAAAAAAAGGAGTGAAACATTTCACTCCTTTTTTGGAATAAAATCGCAATGAATAATAGATTTTCTAATCTAACAACTTTAACTAACATTTTTCTTCGCGAGGCAGAGCGACACTTTTTTTGCTAGATTTGTTCGTTTCGTGCAAAGACACATCGAATGAGCCTAGTTTCATCACGATTGGACACTAAACTTAACATTTACCACTGAGATAGATCTCTTTAAAGGAGTGAAATACTGTCATTATTTTTCAGAAAGTAAAGTATTTTCACTCTTTTAGAATGAGATTTTACTCCAAGAAACTTAGAAAGTAAGTATTATAAGAATCGTTATTTAATAAATTGTCATTAAATGATAGTTATTAATGATAGTTACTATTAAATGATAGTTATTAAATGATGTTATTAAATAATAGTTATTAAATGAGTCATATAACCCCATTTTGAGGTTAGCCTACTAGTGCTATCCGTTAATTTTCTAAAAATAACAGTATACGATAACAAAAATAATCTGTTAAACTTTATTAAACTTAGTATTTAAACAGAAATCAAATATCTTAGACAACTACATACGATTAAAACAAAAATTTCAAAAAAAAAAGAATAAAAGTATTTACTTACGTGTATGATTTTTTAAAATTGTAACGTAATTTCTACCACAGATACGTCCGCACAGCAGACTGAACGGCGTGGCAGTAATGGCAGTCGGCAGTAGCTATTGCGTGCTCGGACACATTTACGCTTGTTTCGCGCGTTTTCCTTTTAATAATGTAGCTCTGATTAGTCTATCTATCCCTACTTGCCCCGGTCTCTCCTACCTCCTAATGAAAATGAACTTTATCGTAGCGTTAAAAGCTCTCGACATCAGCTATTAGATTCTGGAATCAAAAATAAAGTATCCCATTTAAAAAAATCAATGTGACCTTGACTTGACCTTGGCGACGCCGTCCAATGTCAAACAGACAGTGATCAGTAAATAGATCTTTTTAAACCCTACAACTTTTGTCTGAATCATTTTTCCCAAAAATGCTTTGTTTTCGAGATATTTCTCCGCTCCAGGATTTTTTACTCACCCTGTATATCCTTACATATCGCAAGGATAAGTAAATTAAAAGAATGAATAAATTAGGAAAGATTGAAGCTAAAATTGAAAAAAATTAAAATATAAAAATAATTAATATTGTTGGGAATAAGAAAGGAAATTAATTCAGAAAGAGAGAGAGTCGTGCAGTACCGACCACTCTAAGTTTTTTTAGTGTAACTTTGGCTAGTCTCGAAGAAAATTAAATTTGAGAAATGGTTTATAGTATTAATTGAACTTAATAAAAAGAGAGAAATTCGGTCTTCAAATAAATTTCGAAATCGCTAAATTCTATCGATTTTTCGAAGTATAAGCGTTATGAACTGTCCGTAACAATGAAATAGTTTAATTTATATTTATTTATATTTATTTATTAATAAAGTTTAAAATTTTGTGAAAATTCAAACAGAAGAAAACGCTAAACTATTAGTAGATTTGTTTATATAACGTCACAGGATTGTTTCGTTTTTGCGCGTTTTTATCTGCTCTTACGCATTGACAGTCCCGCAATTTTTTAATGAAATTTTTGAAGCGTATAAGGCCTGATTACACCACCTTGGTTACTTTGATTTTAAGCAAGGCCTTAAAACTCTTTTCATTCTCTCTCTCTCTCTCTCTCTCTCTCGGCTTTAAAGAGAGAAAATTAAATAGTTTCAAGCCTCGCTTGAAGTCAAAGTAACGTCGGTACAATCAGCTCTAAGAATGCCAAATATTTTAAGCCATGTTTTGTGAAGGCTGACTCAATAAATCTGCCAAAAATTAATATGTTTGTGATGTGCGAATACATAAAACAGTGATAAGTTTAACACTGATGAAGTTAACCGTTCAACTTTTTCATAACGGGAGTAGTCGGTGTACAAAGAACACCTTAGAATAAGACTTAAAATTTGAAAGATTAAGGTAGTTATACCCCAAAATGCATTATTCAAGAATGTCTTGAAGCCTTCGTCTCGAGTAATTTAAATATTAGTACATATGCCTAGAGATGTAAGCGACGGGAAAAAAACTAGAATTTTAGGGTAAAAAACTCGGAAAATAATAATTTTTTTCCTTTGGCTTTGACAGTTTTTTTTACTCGGATATTCTTTTTTTAACATTCCACGATTTCGACTATTGCTCCAGAATTTAGTTTTTGCACTTATCCGTAAAATTTCTATGTACAAATAATTATGAAAGTTAAAATATAATAATTAATATAATATAATGCCGGTGGTCATAAATATACCTTACCTTTCACTATTATTTGAATATTTTATACTGTACTTCAATTTTAAAAGTTAAGTAAGTGGTCCATACTGTTATTAATACAAATAATACTTTACTAGACTAATTGACTGTTTATGTTGTATACTGTGATTGTAATTATACATATTCTAAATTTAAATTTTTGAAACAATAAAATTATTAAATAGCATCGAAATAACAAGAAAAATGAATTCTATTTCAAATACATTAAGAAGCGCCAATAACGGTCTGAACGTTAAGATGTTGAACTATTTTAAATTCATTTTTAAATGAATTAATTTTCAGAAATTATAATTGCGTGCCGATATAGTTATCGGACTCGAATTCTATTTCTTCTACATATTTAACACGAATTCTAAACGTTTTCATGAATTTTATGTAATGTGGTCAAAAATACCGTTTTTTACAATAAAAACTAGTTTTTTATTTGATATTTTTCTCCGAAGTAAAAAATACCGTTTTTTTACATCTCTACCCGGGAAAAAATGAAAATTTCATTACATAATATATGTGTGAATCAAATTAGAGCAAATAAGATCAAATTGTATCTGATGAGATTTAATTTTTAGATATAATCAGATCTTCAGAAATCTAGCTTGGCCTCACATGATTGATGTTATATTCATTAAGATCTAAATAGATAATCTGCGATATAAATAAAATGATATATAGAATATAAAGATATTGTAGATCTACAAGAATATATTGATATATATGAATATTCAACTTTATACAATGAAACTAAATGTAATAAATATTAGATCTACAGAGATATAATAATAATAATATTAAAGAAGATATATATATGTATAAGTGTAATCTGATAAAAATTGGCGTACATATCTACAGAGATCTACAGAGATATAATAATATCAAAATAGATCTACAATCTTGGCCAAAGGTATAAGGCAATAAGGCCCAATTGTTGCATTTTACGAAAAGTTAAGTATCTCGAAAAAAAATCTCAAAGATTTTCAACCACGCATTTTAAAGCTTAAAAATATATTATATCTAATGAGATAAATGTTTATATATTAGGATATAAATAGATCAAAGTATATCTACATCGGTCTACTTTGATCAAATCAAAATGAAGATCTCTTAAGATCTCTTTTTAGATCTAATGAGATCTACATATATATAGTGAAATCTTCTTCATTTTTTCCCGGGTACACATGCCTGTAAAAGATGAATTCGAATTACCATCTCGTTTCTAATATAACCAATCAAACGTTGCAGATTTTTCTGTATTTACCATTAGCTGCGTTCAGCAGAAAAAGCAAACTTTACAACTGTTGTAAAATTCTTGAATACGATTGGTTTATACATTTAGATCCAGTAAGGAACTAACAAGTAACATTACCCAAGTGCCATACGTGACATGACACGTATTTTTTTATATCTACCCAAAAGCCGTTTTAAGGGTAGAAAACGTCCTTATGAATGTATAGGGGTGAATTCCAGTATTCGACGAAGTACTCGTACGTTTGTTACAGAATGGGGTATACGGTGATTTTCGAAGTTGCTGAATCGTACTTCGTCAAATATTGGAATTCACTCTTATACATTCATAAGGACGTTTTCTACCCTTAAAACAGCTTTTGGACAGATATAAAAAAATACGTATTATATTATCAGATATTTTTCAATGTACTACATGTATGCACAGTCTCAGGGAAATCGGCGTACGGCACTTGGGTAGTGTTACTTGTAAGAGCAAAATCAATCATATTAAAGAATTTTACAACAATTGCAAAGCTGCTTTTTCTGCTGAACGTAGTACACGAATTTTCATATAGCCTCGAAATCAAGAAATTAATGAAAAACGAGTTTTAACCCTTGAACACCACACTATTTTCGCTACCTGATTTCACCATACATGGGTTACGGTAACCCTGGAGTCTTCTTTTGCTTTTATCCCGGGATCTAATGTATCAATTTTAACTTTTTTTTTTAATCGATACAACAGACGGTAAGGAAAAAGAATATATAGGTGAGAATATCATAAAACTTCCGGTAACCAAGATATTTTGAAAAAAAAAAGAAAGAAATTTTCAAAAATCGTTTTTTCAAACGGACTGGGTTACCGTAACCCAGTGTGGTGTTCAAGGGTTAAATAGTTAAATTCGTAAGGAAGTACGTGTAACAACACCGCAAATATTTATCGCACGATATTAAAGTTTGAGTCAATAAAAAATCTTGATTTTATACATTTTGTCGAAAACTGACATATTCGAATTACCCGGGTGCTTTCCGGATGCAATGGCTGCGTTCCACTTAATGCGTCGTCTACAATGGTGGTATCAGTAATGGATGAAGCTGTAAGAGTAAAGCCTGATTTATAATGGCCGTAACCGTTAACTTATGCCGGTACCGGTAAAGTTCAACCATAGGATTTCAATGCTTTCGTTCATACTAACTTGCCGTATTAGTATGAACGAAAGCATTGAAATCCTACACTGAAAAAAAAGATTGGCTGCTGCAGCAAATTAGATGGTAAAATATGGCATAGCATTTTTAATTGGCTGGAGCTTATGGTTGAACTTTACCGGCATCAGCATAAGTTAACGGTTACGGCTATTATAAATCAGGCTTAAGAAATTGATCAGTTACAGTTGAATGTAAGAATAATCGACTGTGATTGGTCAATTTCTTACTCTTACAGCCTCATCCATTACTGATACTACCATTGTAGACGACGCATAACGCTCGCAACGCTCAGGAGCATCGTTTATCTTTAGTTTGTTCGCGTCGCATACTCTAATATACTCCTACGATAGCTCTTACTCACTCCAACGTGCTTGATAGAACGAGTAGAAGCTATGGTAGGACCATGTTGGAGCTTGCGACGCGAACAAACCTCTTGTTTAACATTTGATAAACGACAAGGATGAAACGAGCGTTGTGAACGTTAAGTGGAACGCATCCAAGGTCGTCCTTATTCAACGTTCCGTAATCAATAAGGAGTATGGTAGCGTTCGGAATCCGAACACAGCCCGAGGAAGTCTGGTAAAGGCCATGGCACGTACCTTCCGTAACAGTAACCATAAAACGTACCGTAAGAATCAGCCAATCACAGCCGAGAATTCTTTCGAACTCTTTATTCTAATTGGCTGATTCTTACGGTACGTCTTATGGTTATCGTTACGGAAGGTTTGTGCCATGGCTTTAAGTATGGCAACGTCGCACTTTCCGAGCACTTTTAAGTTCACGATGCAATTACCATCACATGGATCCGGTATATCTCGTTTCTCGCCGAGAGAGAGGTTACGCCTTTCTTGTTTCATCTTCGCGAGACTCGCTCTACACTTTTCTTTTTTTGCTAAAACGTTACTTTTGATGTATCTGCCTTTATAACGC